CCTTTTGGCTTTTGTTTCATTCACCTTCAGCTTGCCCTTCCTGTGTTACACGCTCTTACCCTCCCCCCCAGTGCTGCCTGGCCCCCTGGCCTTTGATGGGAGAACTGAAACCCCCTGTCACCTCCTGTGCCTTGTTCGCTGTGGAGAGGTGCTAATCCTCTGTTTATGACCTCACACTCTGTTTCCATGGAGATGTCAGAGCGGTTTATGAACCTTCATTAGAGTTGTGGGGTTACCAGAGGCCATGGTCTGTTGCTTGGAGAGCTTAGACTCCAAAGCTCAGGGTGGCTGGAGACTCCTGGGGTTTGGGCCTAGCTCTCTAGCTGAGACTTGATGAGCAGCTCTTCGGAGTTTGCCAGGCTGCTGGGCGGTGCCTATACTGCAGTTAAAAAAAACCCAGCCGGCCCCTTGACAGCTACCTTGGGCTAAGGGGCTGTTTCATTGCAGTGGAGACATTGTGGTGCTTAGGCTGGCATCTGGGGGCTTAGGACCCTGTGAGGTGGGAGGGTCTCAGAGCTCAGGCTGCTGCCTAAGCCCATATGTCTGTACCGCAATTAAACATCCTTACATCCCAACTCCCACAAGCCTGAATCAGCTGGCATGGGCCAGCTGTGGGTATATAATTGCTGTGTAGACATACCCACACTGTGCTGTCAGTAGGGATTGGATTGTGTACAGACAGTAAGGGTCTCCTGTGTGGGAGACTGGGTCAGATATGACCCCAGGCTTCTCATATATTGGGCTATGGAAATGCAGGTGTTTCAGATTTTAAAAGCCTTTGAGATTATTTCGTAGATGTGCATATCCAGTACATCTAGGGTGGGAGGGCAGCAATTGTTTATCTCACACAGCAACTGCCCAGCTGGTTAAGATAAGAAATAGCAAATCCCAGATCCCACTGGGTAAACCAGAGCTCCCAGGCTAGCACTGACTTCTGACTATGCTTTGGGCTCTTTAATGAGCACTTAAGATGGGTACCTCCATGTGCATCTGACAGCACAGCGCCCCTTAGACCCAAGCTTGGGGATTGGTATCTGAATGTTCCCTGCTGGGTCGCCATAGTCTCTCTCTGCAGTACCGTTTGTTCGCTCTCAGTGGGAGGAGAACGGTAGCAGAGCTGGGGTCTGGATTAAGTTAGGGAAGGGAAGGCAGGGATGTGGCTGGGGGAGGCAAGGAATGGAGCTGGGCGCAGCAGGCTGGCAGCTGAGCAGGAGCTGGCAACTTGTGAAAGGCAGCAGGGTTGGGGTGGAGAGATCAGGCCAGGGACTGGGCAAGATAAGGGTGAAGTTGAAAGAGGCAGGCCAGGAGTACAGCAATAAGGGCATTTCAGGAATGCTGCTGAGATAGTGTCTCCCCTAACTGCTGGAGGTAGAGAGTTCTGCATTTTTGGAGCCTTGCCATGTCTCGGCTGCTGCAGCACTGAGAAAGTTTTGGCCACTTGCCTACCCCCACCTGTGCCTCCCACATGGCTCTCTGGAACAGCAGCCAGCAATGAACAGGGCAGAGAGACTTTTAACTACTTCCTTCCTCCAGCCGTGGGGCTGGGGTCGTTTTGTGCTGGCCAGACTGCTGCCTCCCTTTCTCTTCATAGTGCGCAGCTGTGTCAGAATAGACACTGGACTGGGACATGAGGCCTGGGTTCAGTTGGCTTGACCACAGACTGCCTGCGTGATTTTAGATTAATCATTTTATCTCTGCCTTGGTTTCCCCCATTTGCAACATCACTCCAACACCTACAAGTATGTGAGTGGTGCGCAGATCCTATGGAGATAAGAGCCTATCTGTATTGTGTTAAGTGGCTGAGACTTTGTCTCTGCTGCTGCAGCACTGAGAAAGTTTTGGCCACTTGCCTACCCCCACCTGTGCCTCCCACATGGCTCTCTGGAACAGCAGCCAGCAATGAACAGGGCAGAGAGACTTTTAACTACTTCCTTCCTCCAGCCGTGGGGCTGGGGTCGTTTTGTGCTGGCCAGACTGCTGCCTCCCTTTCTCTTCATAGTGCGCAGCTGTGTCAGAATAGACACTGGACTGGGACATGAGGCCTGGGTTCAGTTGGCTTGACCACAGACTGCCTGCGTGATTTTAGATTAATCATTTTATCTCTGCCTTGGTTTCCCCCATTTGCAACATCACTCCAACACCTACAAGTATGTGAGTGGTGCGCAGATCCTATGGAGATAAGAGCCTATCTGTATTGTGTTAAGTGGCTGAGACTTTGGAGCGAACTCAGCCACCTCCATTCAGTGCAGTGAGAGCTGAGGACCTTTTACCAGTTTCCCCACAAAACCTTTGAGGTGCAACCTTAGGACCCCTCGGGGCATCTGACTCTGTCAGTTTGCTGCCTTTGAATCTATTGGATTTCAAGAGTACCAGCTGTGGGGAGAGGGGCCTGAGACTGGGTAGGGGGGGGGGGGGGTCTCCACGGTGAAAGGCGCAGCAGAAGGCTCTGGCCTGTCCCAGCAGACACTGTCTCGCACAGCTCAGTGGTGTATTTACCAGCACCCCAAGAGCACTAGCCCCTACTTCCATCTACCCCTGTAGGCGCTGCTGTGTTGAGTGCTCTGGCCTTTGCTAGCACAGCCTCCTGGCCTCTCCACATGAGTGAGACCCTCTAGTTCCCTTTGCCATTACTGCTGTAGCCCTGGAGACCTGTGGGGATTTGCTGGCGGGTGAAAAGTTTCTACAGAGACTCCGCCTCTAGTTCCCTTTGCCATTACTGCTGGAGACCTGTGGGGATTTGCTGGGGGGTGAAAAGTTTCTACAGAGACTCCAACAAGAGCCACAGTGATACCAAACAACTTTTCTGCCCCTTTATTAAAGCTCCTGCCATTCCTCTTCCAAGGCAGGGGAAGAAGTTACTGTGTTGTAAGGATCTTTAAACCAGCCTGTGTAGCTACTGAAACTCTCCAGCTCTTCCTGTCGAGCTGGCTGGATCCTCTTCCCAGGAGACTGCTGTGTGAATGGTGTTAAAAACAACACAGGCAACACTGTTCCTGCTTGTTGCTGCAGCAGCAGCATATTGAGCCTTGCACCATCCCACGGGTGAGCCTTGCATAGCACCAGGCATTACTGTGCAGTGACTTCTCTCCTTGGCTAAAGGAGCATCACGTGCTGGGTTGGCTAGAGAGTCTTTATCTGAATGAAGGGAGCAGATGAGTGGGACCTGGAAGACATAAGGAAGTAAAGCCAAGAGGTAACGAAGTGAGGAATGATGTGGAGCCTAATTCCTCGATGGCACCAGGGCTGCAGACTATTGGAGAAAAGCAGCTTGCTCAGATGCCTAGCAGTGTCCAGCCCTCCCTGATTCCCATCCCCTTCCTGCCACATGGTTGCTCTGTTACAGGTCATTTCCCTTCGTGCCCCTGAACCATACATCTCTAGTTTCAGGAACTTGCATTGGCCTCAGCTTCTCACCTGGTATGAGAGTAATTCCTCCTGGGAGGTCTCCTGAACAGGAGGCAGGGTGATAAGGATGCAGAGCGTTGTGGTTCTGTGGGGAGTGATGTTAGAGGTTTGCCCTGAGCTGAAGGACAGAGTGTATGTGTTAGCATCTTATCTTCAGTTATATGTGCTCGCCCTCCCCGCCCCCCTTTTGCTCCTGAAATTCCTCTCTCCACTCTTCTGTGCTGCGAGATAAGCAGCCCCTTCAGCCTCCTCTTGCCCTGTCTGGCTCTTTGCCCTTACTGTTGAAATGTCCCTCTCTCTCTCTCTCTTTGGAGCAGGGAGAGAGCTGGGAAAAGACTGTAGCACTGGGCATAACCACCAGAGAGCTCTATAAGAAGCCCAGCTCATCAGGCCTGATGCCATATGTGTGAGGAGGGGAAATGTTACCTTGAACTGGATGTGAAGGTATTTGGTGCTTTGAATTGCTTCTCAAACAGGCAGTGTGGATGGTCTGGAGGCTGAGGGTATGTCTACACTTCATTCCTCTTTTGAGAGAGGAATGCAAATGCAGCCGAGCAAAATCGCAAATGAAGCACAGATTTGAATTTCCTGCGCTTCATTTGCATAATTGCAGCCAGCTGCTTTTTCGAAATACCCTATTTTGAGATAAAAATGCTGTTTAGACGCGGTTATTTCGAGGAAAAAACCCTTCTTTCGAAATGGGAGTAAGGATTATTTAAAAAAGGGGGGGGGGAGTTTTCCTCAAAAAAACCGCATCTAAACAGCATTTATTATCTCAAAATAGGGTATTTCGAAAAAGCAGCTGGCTGCAATTATGCAAATGAAGCGCAGGAAATTCAAATCTGTGCTTCATTTGCGATTTTGCTCGGCTGCATTTGCATTCCTCTCTCAAAAGAGGAATGAAGTGTAGACATACCCTTAGGCTGAATAGGTGTTCTCACTGGCTGCTAGAGTAGGAGAAGGTTAACAAGTGTTAGATTCCCACCCCCTCTTGGGTCAGAAGAGAGTCACTCTTGCTAGTAGGCCTACCCCTAGCAGTCATTAAGTCAAAAACAGGCAACCTTGCTGATCAGTGGAGCAGTGGTTTCATTCCATCCCTGTAGACCTTT